AAGGGCGGGTGCGCTGCCTCCAAGGACCAGCCCCTTCTGTCCACAGGGAGCCTGCGCTGGTAGAACAGAAGGTGTTTTATCCCTTTTGAATTCCACATCCCTGGGGCGGTTTGACAGAGATGCAGAGCCACGACGGCAGATGTGCTTTTCTTGGTTGTCTTCGGACTCATCACAATGTGACACTTGGCCTGCAGGGTTCTGCAGGCCACAGCTTGAAAAACACCGTTCTTATCTTCGCTACATTAAGTTTACTGCATCTTAATCTGTCAAAGAGCAACATCCATGTTGTGCAAGGCTAGCAACTGCCTGGGCTCAGCAAGCAGGGACGGAGAGCATAAGAAACGTCCCCCTTTACCATTCACCGAAGTCCTGGAGCGCTAGACCTCTGAAGGAAGAGGCAAAGATGCTGTTCACTATCACTTAGTGACTCCCTCTAAAGGCATTTTGTCTGTTAAAACAACATATTTTGTCAGCCGTTTCTGAAAAACACCACAGTTCTTTAATAATGATTTTAATACAGTAATAACATAAGTACTTTGTATTAAGGCAGGAACAGACCAAGAAGTCTAAATCCCTTCCCGAAGTCAGTAAACTCTGAGGATTATAACCTGGAGAGGTGATGGCCGCTGTCATTTAGCATATAGGTGTAAAAGCAACTAGACATTCAAGATTTGGTAAAAGGAGGAAAAGAGGGTAAGCAAATAGTTTATATAACTGAGAGTAACAGTGATAGGAGTATAGTGGTTTACAGAACTATGGAGTAGGAAAAAACAAATCAGTCCATTTTGGAATGCACTGCTCAGTCCTGCATGAGAAGTAAGGCACAAAAAGGGAAAGAACAGGAGATAACAAACTAAGCCCACAAAATTCCACATACTTTCAGGTCCTGTGAGTGCCTTTCCTACTTAAAAAGCAATACTTTTGCAGACTCAGAACACGTGAAGAGGTTAGTTAAACTGGTAGAGAGTCATAATCCCAAGCTTTTTAACCAGTATTAATCACACCTCTTACCCCTCCCTGAGGGTAAGAGGCGTTCGGGTTTCTGCTGCCCCTTTCCATCTGTCTCAGTGCTAACCCGAAGTTCGGCGGCTGTCTTCTTCTCAGGACGGCAGGTACCAGTGACCCAGCGGTGGCACCGGCCCCGCAGCCTCCAAGCGTCTCTGGTGGCTGGTGAGCATGCTCTGCTCGGAAGGGCAGTCTTGCACCAGAGCCCCCCTCGGGCCCGGGCCCCGCTCTGGAAGGAGGGAAGGCCGAGCTGAGGTGCCCACCACTGACTCACTCGCACCTCGGCCGCGCTACCTGACCCAGCTCGCCGACGCGTTTCCGCAGCTAGTAACAGGGCCA